ATTTATTATAATTATTTATAATGTATTATATTATAATTTTTTAATTTTGTGTTTTAAACTTTATCATACCTGGGATGTCTACTGGACTCTTGTTTGGACACATTTAGGTGAGTTATTTCATAAGATTTACTAAGAATTACAGGCCTACAATATAAAACAACACATTTGCATGAAAAACAATGTACCGCTTTGGGATGCTAAAATCCTGAATAATCATATCGCCAGGGAGGTTAAACATCTGTTGCCTTCAGAACTGTATTTCATTTTTTTTTGCATTGGTACATTTCCCCCCAGGGCAGTGCCCAGTTCCACATGCCCTCTGGTTGACAATCCCCTGCCCATTAGCCTTAAAAATGGAAATAATTGATTTTCAATATTGGCCTCTTTGCCCTTGACTTCAATGGGGTTTACATAAAAATTTCCCAATTTGTTGACTTTTTTAAGAGTTTACTAAACCTCCCATGAATCAAACCCAGGCACATTTGGCGCATCACTCATTTCTATCATTTCTTATGGTCCTTATTGTCAAACCACATTCCAATTTAGCATTTGTGCAACAAAATCAAATTAAGTTTTCTTGGTTAAAATTAGAATAGAAGTAATATGCTACACAGTATGGCCTCAGTGTGTGTGCCCATGTAGAGACCTGCTCCCGGGAGGGACAGGTACAGCCTGTAAATGCGTGCAGCCATCTGTATATCCCAATGTCAGGACATGACTGCTCACTCTCCCAGGACAGTAGGACTATGTGTCACAAACCTGCAAATTCATAGATTATCTGTGTCCAAGTGCATACACCCAGACCTGCACAGATGTGAAGGTTCAGGCTGGCTTGAAGCCACAGTCAGCTGTGTCCTATCAGATGTGCATGTCTATGTGAATGAGGCCTTAATGTAGTCTATTGACTATTGATTTTAGACAGGACCTATTAGCTAACTTCCACAATTATCTTGGTAGAGCCCAAAAAACAGTTACATTTATTTCTCAGATTCCAGTAATATGTAACATACAGCATACATTGTATTTATACAATTTCTTGTAGACCACATTGTCTAAACCACATCCCTATTATCTTTGGGGGAATAAAAAAAATATAAAAGTTAGATTTCTCAGTTCCTCTAGAAGTAAGTTGACCCACACAGCATACACAGTAATTCTACAATTTATTTTAGGCCTCGTTGCCTAAAGCATATTCCCATTTTTCTTTGAAGTGTCCAAAAAAGAAAAGCATATATTTTTTAACATTACAATGTAAGGATTATCGCACAAAATGCCTGAGTATGATTTTATTACAATTCTGGAAAGCCTCATTTGATAAAACACTGATCTCATGCAGCTTTTAAGGACAAAAAAACAAACAAACACAAAATAGACCAAATAAAGTGTTTAATTTTCAGTTAAAATGAAGGAATGTTTTACATAATTTTACATTTGTTGCAACATTCACTTTTAGTCACATTTTGAAAAAGACAGACCACCACATTTGTCTGCAGTTGCAGAACCTACTGGCTACTAACATCTACCTCTCCATTAGGCCTTCCTGGCATCATGAAAACAGGGGATTGTGACAAACAGCAGATCAGATCCCACCATGCTGCTGCCACTACGTGGCAATACCACTCCCCGCACAAAGATTTTGCAGCTTGCAGAACAACAATCTAAGGCCAGCAGGGTGAAAACGATCATCACTGGGGTTGGTTAACTCCGCAGTTACCCTGAACACACACAAACAATAGCTGTTGCCACATGTTTTAACAGGAACATGCACTGTTCCCAGCAAATGTTGTGACAATTCTAAACTTAAGCAATACCTGTAATGCTCACTGTCCCTCCAGACAGGAATATAACAGGTTTCACAATCTGGTAGTGATCTTCAGTAACAAAGATAATTTTTAATCAAAGAAAATGAGCAGAGAAATATACATAAAATATGTTACAGGAATGAGACAAATAACACAATAGGAAAACAAAAAGAGAATACAAATAATGGGTCCCTGCAGTGAAGCATAAAATGGTTCTTAGATTGGCTCTCTAAAACAAGTCTCTTGGCAGATGTTCTTTTCTCTATGGTAAAGTAAAGCTCAATCTGCCTTCTGCATAAGCTTTTCCTTGGCCTTCTCAAAAAAGCCCAGGGGTGTGAGACAGGAGGCCTGAAGCATTTTATGATCTTTCACCTGGCCCTTTGATTAAATCAGTTTCCTAAATGCAATCATATTTTTATTTACCCACATACTACCATTGAATAAATCATAGATTATTGCATGTGATGAAATTAGTTTTTTATACATACCAGATTTGACATACCTGCGGTTTATGGCTCACTCAGAAAGGATAATGTGGGTCCTCTGTACCTCCTAAGATGGTACATCTTTATATACATTTGTTATTAATGTAGTGCCCAAAGCTATGAATTATGAGTGATGTTTGGAAACTAGTTTTGTTAGCAGGGTTATTTACAGGCCACCTGAGTCCAGACTATCTATGTGTATATGACTGGGATCTGTTAAGGGATAGCTAATTATTGTTCTGGTTTTTACTTAGTGCTTTGTGATACCCCATTGGGAGGTTGCTCATAAAACAGCTAGAACACAGGCCTGATAAGCAGGTGCTCTGGCCATTTGGTGGGATTTGAAGGACTTTTGAAGACTATCTGAAACAAAACAAATATTTTTAATGAGTAGTCTCGTTTAATCACATCAAGCAGTGGCAAATTCCATCAAACTGATGGGATGACGGGGTTTCCTAAATAGTTTTGGGATGCCCAGACCTTATTACTGTCACAGAAATTGACTAATTTGCAAACCGATGGCAATATATGAAAAAAGGATGTGTTGCCTTGGTGCACTGCACAATCTAGGGATTTGGTGCAGTAAACTGAATTAGTTTTACTAATTTTATGTATAATTTTATTTAGTTTTTGAATTAGTGCAATAGTATGCAGTATTGTGATTCTAACAAAGGGCGGCTTTGCCTGTTTTACCAACAAGTTCACCCTGTTGACCCCCCCCCCCAAAGAAAACAAACTGTTGG